TAAATAAATAAATAAATTGGGATAAAGCTGGAACTAATTAGCATTCTGCACCTTTGAATATGTTATGTCTGTTGAGCATCAAATAAAATGCTGTGCCTTGTTATTCTGCTGTTAGTACTCTTATGACCCCTTGTTTTCTGCCTAATTAATTCCCTAATGTTGGGTTTACTCTCAGAAATGTCCATTGTGGCTTGTCCCGAGCTGCATGCAACGAGCGTCGGAAGCCCCCTTAGTGGCAATTAGAGATATGGTGAATAAACTGCAGGTTTCCATGATCCCTGAGGGAGGGAGGAAGGGATGCTCYGTGTTACTACTTAGAAATACAATGAATCGACCTCATGGGTGGCAGGCCCTTTAGTTAAACTGAGAGAGAAACAATGTGGCTAAAAATTGTAGCATAGCATTTCTCRTTTCCAAGAGTTTCCAAGAGTCAGGTTCAATTTGTTTGTGAATTGCTAAAAGGTGAAAAGTGGGCGATGAGCTGTTTGATGTTTGACATTTTGCAGAGAAACCCACAAAACCTTTTCTTAACAAATGAAGAACCATTTAAAATGACAGGTTTTCCAACAGGATTAGATTTTACTGGCAAGAAGCCCTGTTATAAGAAAGAAATAATCAAACAAACACAAGTTTCCTTACTTTTCGGGCCAAGTTATTTTGAGCATTGATGTTATTCTCAAAGTTGGACCAAAGTAACTATAATTCTGCTCTTCTTGGGACAGAAAACATCCAAGGCTACAGCCCAGAATGTCCTGGTCCAACAACCTTGATTTTTAAAGCTGGCCGAAATCTGCCCATGGTCACTTGAAAACTGTACTCCAGTGGATTAAGGATGTATTCACACTAGCCCTGTTTAGTCCACTATAATCAAATGCTCAGGGCCCATGAATACACCCCAAATCATACAAAATGAGCTGAGTTGAGCAACAAAGTAATGTGCAAGCCAAGAAGACTGTTTTGCATTGGCACATAAATCTAGGTCATGATTTTCAAAAACCGACCGTTTCTTGCATGGCCACAATTCTCACATGGCCCATGGCCGCAAATGCTCATAATTTAGTCGAACAGCTAATGAAAATTTGCACCTTTTCTTGCAATATCAAGTCATTAAACTGGTTTCCAACAGCCGTAGCTTAACCAAGATGCATTTCTGCAAAAATAAAGTCTATTGAGGCAAGTGCACTGAGTTTAAGGTGTACTTGTGCAATGAAAGGCTGGTTGTCATGGTAAGCAAAACACATTATCAAGAAGCTTTCTTCATTCTCTCTCTTTTTTCCTGCCTTTTTTTTACTCTTTCGGTGGAACAACACAGAGACTTCAGGCAAGACTTTGAGGGGAAAAAAAAAATCATATGTTCATATTTTCCTTTTCCTCTAAATCCATAGCAAAACAAGCTCTTTCATCCTGGACACACTGTCTAGGCTCTCCTCAAATAAACTCAGCCTGTGTGGGGAACGGCAAGCCTGAATATCAATAAATTCAATTCTGMATTTCTGCACATCAATGGCAAAAGCAACTAATGTTTGAAACAATAAATTAGCTTTCAAGCGGTGATTTGAAAACTACCTAAAAGCAAGATCTTGGTGTTGACTCCAGCCTGCGAGAGAATAATGAATGGGTTGTATTTACAGTCATGACTGCACACATTGTCACGACTAATCCTTTGAAAAATATTTTACATTTCAGATATGATACAGCAGCTCRACGCAGCATGCTGGAGCCACTGTAATTTCTGCGGTGCAGTTCTCTCGTCTTCATTTTCATTATTCCGCCTCAATCTTCTCCTCCACCCTGGTCCACTGGAAAGTCGTTCTTCCGTGTAATTTAAAACAAACAACAGCCAGACACAGATAAGGGCATGACAGGCAGAAAATAATTCGGCTGCCTTTCTTCATCTGAGGGAGTCTAGAAAGGTCACCCTCAGTGCTGCCAAACCTTGTGTTGGAGTGCACGGTAGGGGAGGACGAATGCAGGGCAAAAGGGGGTCATGGTGTGGCACTGGTGATCCGACACTTTGATCGGGCTGGAAGTCATCCAAAAAACTGTTGATGACTGAGTGGCAACAGATTCTACAAGCAGAGGAAGGATGGAGGGATGGATTTACAAATCACTTCAGAACACATTGTTTACATTATATCAAAGCATGAAATTAACAAAACACTCCATTTAGCAAAGTATGAATAACCAAAGTGTCTCACCATTGTTTGTTTTTGCTAGATTTTGATTTATGTAACTCCT